CAAAAAAAAAAAAAAAAAAATTGGCCAGGCGTAGTGGCTCACACCTGTAATCCCAGCACTTTGGGAGGCCAAGGCAGGTGGATCACGAGGTCAGGAGTTCGAGACCAGCCTGGCCAATATGGTGAAACCTGTCTACTAAAAAAAGGCAAAAATTATTTGGGCATGGTGGCATGCGCCTGTAATCCCAGCTACTCAGGAGGCTGAGGCAGGAAAATTGCATGAACCTGGGAGGCAGAGGTTGTAGTGAGCCAATATTGTGCCACTGCACTCCAGCCTGGGCAATAGTGACACTCTGTCTTAAAAAAAAAAAAAAGTATAATCTTAAGCAGCCCAAAGTTGTTTGAATTACATTTTTTTTTTTTTTCAGGTTATACATGTCCATAATTTAAAAGTAGTAAAGTATAATAAAAAATGCCTCTAATTCTATCCAAACGCAATTTTTTTCACAGAAACTAAACTAAGGGAATTGCTGGATTTTCTTTCCTTTTTTTTGAGACGGAGTCTCTGTTGCCCAGGCTGGAGTGCAGTGATCTTGGCTCACTGCAACCTCCACCTCCCGGGTTCAAGTGATTCTCCTGCCTCAGCCTCCCAGGCAGCTGGGACTACAGGCGCCTGCCACCATGCCTGGTTAATTTTTGTATTTTTAGTAGAGATGAGGTTTCACCATGCTGGCCAGGTTGGTCTCAAACTACTGACCTGAAGTAATCCACCCACCTCGGCTTCCCAAAGTCCTGAGATTACAGGTGTGAGCCACTGCGCCCAGCCAAGGGAATTGCTAGATTTTAGATGACTTTTTTTTTTTCCCCAAAGGAAACCCTAATTTATAAAAGATTTCTCTAAACTTAGAGAAAAAAAGAAACATGGAGAACAAGGGGTGTTGGTTCTGACCCTAATTGAAGTGCAGCATGTATGCAGGGAAGGTCCCCGGCTGCAGGTTCCAGCTCACTGCACCCCAGAGACAGAATACTCCTGTGTAGTTGGCAGCCAGGTGGAGACACAGCAGTACATCCCAGAAACCCCCTCCTGCCTCTGCCCCACAGATCACCACCATCCTGATTGTCACAGCATAGTCTGACTGCTTCTGGCTCAGGTGGTAAAACTTAGTTGTCGCGTAAAATCAGAATACCAGCGAGAATGTCCCCACCTGTCTTGCATGAGAGAGCGGGAATGGCGGGGCGCGGTGGCTCATGTCTAATCCTAGCACTTTGGGAGGCCGAGGTGGGTGGATCACCTGAGGTCAGGAGTTCAAGACCAGCCTGGCCATCATGGTGAAACCCCATATTAAAAAAAAGCGGGAATATCCAGGGCTGGGTGGCTGACGCCTGTAATCCCAGCATTTGGGGAGGCCAAGGCGGGCAGATCACCTGAGATCTGGAGTTCTAGACCAGCCTGGTCAATGTGGTAAAACCCTGTATCTACTAAAAATACAAAAATTAGGCTGGTGTGGTGGTGGGCACCTGTAATCCCAGCTACTCAGGAGGCTGAGGCAGGAGAATCACTTGAAACCCAGAGGCAGAGGTTACAGTGAGCTGAGATCACTCTACAGCACTGCAGCCTGAGCTACAGAGCAAGACTCCAACTCAAAAAAAGAGCGGGAGTATCTACCTCTTTATTGTCCCTGGGGAACAGGTCAGAGGGCATAGTGCCCACAGGCTCCGGCTGTGGGCAGACATGGCAGTGGCGTGGAGTCCTTCAGGGGTGCTAGAACCCTGGCAGCGCCACCCAGGGTGGAGGGAGGCTTGGGGACGGCCCTGCGGATGCTCACACTCAGCTTCCCTCTCGCCCCGGCAGGAATGCCTGTCCCACCTCCTGTCCTCCTGTGGCCCTGTCCAGTCTGTGGAGTTGCAGGAGAAGCCGGACCCGGCCGAGAGCCCGAAGGAGCCAAGGTCGAAGTTTTTTCATCCCAAGCCAGTTCCGGTGAGCCCCCAAGCACGGGTTCTCTTAGAGTGAGGTGGGTGGGGCATCATCCGAGTGTGTCGGGGGAGCTGGCAGTGGGACGTCAGAGCATTCTCTGTGGTCCTGAGCCCATCCTCACTGTGTGGTCTAGGAGGCTGTCCGGGTGACAAAGCCTGCGATTCCATCCCAGATTTGTCACATCCTTGCATTTCCTGCCTTGCCTTTTCTTTCCCGGTTAAAGCTCAGGGACCATCTGTGCTGGCTGCCTGCAGGGCCTCCGCCAGCTCCCCTCCTGCTTCCCCCACTGAGGGATCTCCTTCCCTAGGTTCTGGGGCTGGGTCTCCAGGAGCCCTGTTGTTCACAGCTTTCCCGGTGGCCCTGGAGCCCACACCTCCTCCTTGCACAGTGGCATCTGGCATGGTGTGTGCGCCCACACCTGGCTTCCAAAAACCTGCCCTGGCTCAGGGCAACCCTGCTTTTCACTGCATTCCTCCTGTAACTGGAAGAAAGGAAGCCTGCCTGTCCCCTCTTCCTGGGGAAGAGCTGGGAACAGATGTCACTTCCCACAGAAGGAGGATAACAGGAAGTGTGGCTGCCATGACCTGGATTATGGGATGGCCTCTGGTTCTCTCACAGCTCAGGAATAGCCTAGTACTATCTCCCCTGGTGTAGCCACCAGCTAGGCTGAGGGCAGGCCTGGAAACCTTGTTCCGGACGTGGGAAAGAGCCCCCACCCTCTGACATCTCTCTCCCTCTAGGGGTTCCAGGTAGCCTACGTGGTGTTCCAGAAGCCAGGTGGGGTGTCAGCTGCCTTGGCCCTGAAGGGCCCCCTGCTGGTATCCACAGAGAGCCACCCTGTGAAGAGTGGCATTCACAGTCAGTACCGGTGAAGGGGTCTGGTGCCTCCTTCCTGGGCTCTGGGTTGGTGGGACATTATGGGGACAGTTTTTGAATGTCACAAGCCACATCCATGCTCCCTGAGAGCAGTGTCTGGAGGGCTGGGCAGAAGGGCTGAAGGGGCTATGTCTGGGCCCCCAGGGAGTTGTTAGCCTGAGCCCCTGGCACCGAGTGGCTGGGCAGGCAGAGGCAAGGGCCCAGCTTGCAGCCACTGGGATTTCCTTCGCACCTGTGCCCCAGGCCCTGTGTGAAAAGGTCCCGATGTGCCTGAGGGGCCCCAATGCCAGGCCTGAGGAAGCCCGTCTCCTTGGCTCCCTTCTCAGAGTGGATCCGTGACTACGCAGACTCTCTGCCCGACCCTGAGGCCCTGAGGGTGGAGGTGGACACCTTCATGGAGGTGTATGACCAGAAGATTGCTGAGGTAGGGGTTCTAAAGGGATGGCCGGGCGCCGCAGTGCCCATGTGGCTGTGGGAAGGTGACGCCCCAGTAGGAGGGCAGTGGCGGCCTGTCCCTGGCCACTCTGTAGAGGCTTAGGCTCCCCTTCATCCCTGCTGGATCCAGGGTTGCCTGGCTGAGTGACATCTAACCTCCACATGGTCGGTAGTGGAGGAGGAGGCAGCGCCAGCAGGTCTGTGCTCTTCCTGCCACCCTCAGCCCCAACGCTTTGCTGGGAGGCAGTGAGCAGCCTTGCCCCTGTGGGGGTGTAGCACAGTTCTGACTTTGGGAGGAGGGCATGCTGCTGGAGGCTGCAGGAGGGCCCAGGAGCCTGCCGGACAACAGGGTCACCTTCCGCACAGGAAGAAGCTAAGGCCAAGGGGGAAGAGGGTGTCCCTGACGAGGAGGGCTGGGTGAAGGTGACCCGCTGTGGCCGGAGGGCTGTGCTCCCCCGGACGGAAGCAGCCAGCCTTCGGGTGCTGGAGAGAGAGAGACGGAAGCGCGCCCGGAAGGAGCTGCTCAACTTCTATACCTGGCAGCACCGCGAGAGCAAGATGGAACGTAAGCCATGCCCCCAGCCCATCCTCAGGCTCCATGGCTTTGGCCCCAGCTGTGGATGAGGCCTGTGCACAGGGTCGCCTCCAGGCTCTGTGGAAAGCAGCCCAACCTGGTAGCACCCTGTGTAGTGGCTGGGTCACCCCATCACCCACCAGAGGCAGCTGCATTTGCTCAGTGGGTGGGGACCCCGAGTCCTCAGTGCCCACCTCTGGGCCCCTCTGCACTTAGTGCTGGCGTTTGTCAGTCTCTACCCAACAAGGAGTCCAAGTGCGCAAGGCACTTACTTACAGACCTACTGTGGGTGCAGAGAGGGTGCTGCAGACTGTGTGTGGTATGTCAGGTGGCCCTCAGGGGACCCTCCCATGGTTGAACACCTGTGGGCCAGTCCTAGTGCTGCGGCTGAGCCCTCTGTCCCACTGCCTGCAGGACAGCTTCCCTGCGGGCACGGGGACGGGCTCTGCGGCATACCCTGAGCCACCCGCCCAGTCACTCACTGGTGCTTTCCCTGCCTCACTGGCTCTCTTGGCTCCTGCCCGTGCTCACTGTAGACCCTCAGCTTCCCCCTCACCTGGGCCACTCGGTGACCAGAGTTGCCATCTGCATTTACCAGCACTAGGGGTGGAGTCCCTTTACCGATTCCCAGGGTCCCTCCAGGCTGAGTGGTCCCGACTCCTTTCTTCCCCTTGGGCAGGGGCAGGTACGGGTACCTTTGCTTGGTCACTGGGGCTTCATCTCCAGGCTAGCCCACTTTGGCCTTGGACTTGGCCTGCAGCTGTGTTGTTTGCTTAAGGGATCCAGACCCTGCCTCCAAACCAGAGCTGGGAAGGGGGATGGGTTGGTGGGGGGAAGACGTACCCTGACAATAACTGGGAGGAGGGGTGGAACATGAGCAAGCTGGCTCCCCCTGGGGTGTGCTGACCCTGCCCTGTGCTTTTCACCCCCAGATCTAGCACAGCTGCGCAAGAAGTTCGAGGAGGACAAGCAGAGGATCGAGCTGCTTCGGGCCCAGCGCAAATTCCGACCTTACTGAGCTGGGAGAGCCACACCAAAAAGGAACTTGAGGCGAGGTGGGCCCTGGGTTGAGGGCCACTGTGTCCAACAGCCCCGATCAGAGGCCACACGGCTGGGAGTGAAGGACCGTGCCACCCCTCAGGTCTTGTGCTTCAGCAGTCCTGGGGTGTGCCCAGAGGAGGATTTGCCCCTTCAGCCTCCATACCCTCCTCTCAAGGACCCTTCTCCCCTTAACCACAATGGAAATGCCCCTGCTGCAGCGAAACAGCCTCAAAAGCAGTGAGAATACCAGCACATCTCGTATTTTCCATCCAGTTGGGCCACAAGGAAAGGCCTAGGTGGGCCTACCCTGCCCTTCCTCCCTCCAGCTGGCTGGAGATTGTCTCCCTCTTGAGGTCACAGATGTTCAAGTTGGAATCTTGCTCCCTTCCCCCTGAATCTACCATCCTAGGCTGGGCTTCCAGACCAGTGAGCCTTTCCCCACCATGCCTGGCCTGCTTGCAGGGCTCGGGAACTCAGAGTCTCAGTGCCGAGGCTGGGAGCACGAGGTCTTCATAGCTCCAAGCCCAGAGCTATAGCTGGTTTGGGAGCCTGGGTTTGCTCTGTAGGAAGGAGCTGATGATACCGGCCACAAGCTGGGGTTCGTTCATGTGGACATAGTGAGTGCCTGGGACTTCCACAAACTGGAACCGCTGAAAAGGGGAAGGGGCACGTGGTGAGATGTGACCAGAGGTGCCTCGGGAGCTCCACAGGCTCTGAGGTACACTAGGCCCTCCCACAGCCTTCTGGCTCCCTGCACCTCCCACGGTGAGTTTCCCCACACTCGGCTCCTTGGATCCCCACCAGTCCACAGCACCCCAGGAGTTGTCCAAGCCCTGGCGACTTGGAGGCCTCGCAGGGGTCTAGGCCAGCTCACTTTTGAAATTGCCTAACAGGGACAGGGAGGGGCGATGACCAGGGTTGCTGTGACTCTATCAGAGGAGGTCCGCTTGAGATAAGATAATGAGGTGGGGGTGTGAGCGGCCTGCAGCCTTGTCCCTGCCTTTAAGAACCCAGACTGGAAGGCCTTGCCTGCCTGGGCACTGACCTGGCAGCTGGCCAGCCACAGGTGGGTTTCCCTTTGTGACAGTGCCTAGAAACCTGCAAAGGCCCCAGGGTCAGGTGTTCATGGGTAGATGACCATGAAACATCAGGTGCTCCCAAGAACCTAGGCAAAAGCCACCCCCACCTACAGCCAGCATGCCCACTGGTGTGATGTGTAAAGGGAGGCAGCAGTCAGGTCTGCTGTGGTTTGGGAGCCTATAAAATGTGAGATAGGCCGGGCATAGTGGCTCCCACTTGTAAAACCAGCACCTCAGGAGGCCAGGGCGGATGGATCACAAGGTCGGAAGTTCATGGCCAACATGGTAAAACCCCATCTCTACTAAAAAATACAGAGATTAGCCAGGCATGGTAGCATGTGCCTGTAATCCCAGCTACCCAGGAGTCTGAGGCAGGAGAATCGCTGGAACCCGGGAAGCAGAGGCTGCAGTGAGCTACAATCATGCCAGTGCACTCCAGCCTGGGCAACAGAACAAGACTCCATCTCAAAAAAAACAACTTGTGGGCTGGGTGCAGTGGCTCACATCTGTAATGCCAACACTTTGGGAAGCCAAGGCAGGTGGATCATTTGAGGTCAGAAGTTCAAGACCAGCCTGGCCCTCATGTTAAAAATTCCATCTCTACTAAAAATATAAAAATTAACTGGTTATGGTGGCAGATGCCTGTAATCCTAGCTATTTGGGAGTCTGTGGCAAGAGAATCGCTTGCACTTGGGAGGCAGAGGTTACAGAGAGCTAAGATTGTGCCACTTCACTCCAGGCTGGTGACAGATCGACACTGCCTCCAATAAACAAAAAGTGGGACTATTAGCTGGGATGATAGCATGCACCTGGTAGTCCCAGTTACTCAGGACGCTGAGGTGGGAGGATCATGAGCCCAGGAGTTTGAGACTGCAGTGAGCTACAACTGAGCCACCGCACTCCAGCCTAAGCAACAGAACGAGACCCTGTTTCTCAAAAAAATTAAAAATGTGAGACTGTCTCTGACATTTGGGTCACCGAATTGTGTCTGGCCCGAGGAAGGAGGGGTGGGTACGTAAGGACTATAAGAGATTTGTTTCTGTTAAGTGAAGGTGCTGTAAAAAGAATTTTAAAAAAAAGATTTGTTTCCTGAATTCTGATTATATTTGTGCCCAGGTCTCTAGGGACTGACCACAGTAGAGGGTGATGCCTGATAGCTCCTGGTGGTCACCTGTTGGGCCTGGGGTCAGACCAGGGGTTTTCCCAGTGCAAAAAAAGAGATGGGTGGGGTGGGACCAGAGTGGGTGACAGTGACAGACACCAGCTGCCTGAGCTCCACACCTTACCTCTTTGAGGGTGGATTTCAGTATGCGTATCATGTACAAGAAGGGCTCCTTGTTAGCGTCATTCTCCCTTCTCACATCGAAATATCCGTGGATTGCTCTGGAAAGTGAAGAGTTGGGGTTATTGGGGTTCATCTTAGAACTGCCTCCCAGCACTGTCCTCATCCTGCCTTGTGTTCAGGCCTCTGAGGAGAAACCAAAGCCTGGGCTGTCCCAACTCCCACAGCTGGGTCCCCTGACCCTAGACTGAATTTGAGGCTCAGTTAGTCTCAGCTCATACTCAGGTGGGACAAGCCAGGGGCAAGCGAATGCTTCAGGTGCACCCTGCAGGGGCACAGGGAGTTGAGAACCTGCCAGTCACAGCCCAGAATAGCAGAGCTGGGATCTCAACAGGCTCTGGAGTCCGCACTTGGCTGAGAGAGAATTTACATGTCTTAAAACCCTCCCATTCAGCATTGTGAGACCATCATTACAATTACAGAACATTTTCATCACCCCCAAAGAAATCCCAAACCTCTGAGCTTACACACACACACACACAACCCCCCCACCACCCCCCCCCCAACAGGCTTCCAGTCCTGAGCAACCATGAATTGGCTTTTCTCTGCAGTGTGCCCTGGTTTGGACTTTAACATGAATGCAGTCCTACGACATGTAGACATTTATGTCTGACTTCCTAGTGTAGTTTCCAAGGTTCATCCATGCTGCAGCTCATGTCAGTGCTTCATTTCTGCTTAAAAATTGTCTATGGTGGGTCAGGCATGGTGGCTCATGCCTGTAATCCCAGCACTTTGGGAGGCCGAGGTGCTCTGGATATCAAGACCAGCCTGGCCAACATGGTAAAACCCATCTCAACTAAAAATACAAACATTAGCTGGGCGTGGTGGCGGGCACTGGTAGTCCCAGCTATTTGGGAGGTTGAGACAGGACAATCACTTCAATCTAAGAGGTGGGGGCTGCAGTGAGCCAAGATCATGCCACCGCACTCCAGCCTGGGCAACACAGCAAGAGTTCATCTCAAAAAGTCTGTGGTGTGGACGGATCATGTTTTGCTTGCCTGTTTATCCACTGGTGGACATTTGTATCCTCCACCTTTTTAATTTTTTTTTTTGGAGACAGGGTCTTGGTCTGTCACCCAGGCTGGAATGCAGTGGTACAATCACAGCTCACTACAACCTCCTGAGTAGTTGGGACCACAGGCATGTGCCACTGCTCCCAGCTAATATTTTTTTTTTTGTATCTTTTGTAGAGACGGGGTTTCACCATGTTGCCCAGGCTGGTCTCAAAACTCCTGGGCTCAAGTGATCTGCCCACCTTAGTCTCCCAAAGTGCTGGAATTATAGGCGCGAGCCACCACTGAACGCTTTTTCATCTCCACCATCAGTCTATTACAGAATGCTGCTACAAACATTCGTGTTCAGGTTGTGTGGACATGTTTGCATTTCTCTTACGGATAGACCTAGAAGTGCTGGTAGCATGGTAAGTGTGTTCAGTAGCTCGAGAAGCTGCCAGAACAGTTCATAGCCCCACAGCAGTGCGTGAAGTTTCTGACTGCTCCACATCCTTGCCACCCGTTCCCTATTTGGTTCCAGCCATCCCAATGGGGTGAGGTGGTTTCTCGCTGTGGTTTGGATTTGTGTTATTTTATTCTTTGAGATGGAGTCTCACTCTGTCACTCAGGCTGGAGTGCAGTAATGTGATCTCAGTTCACTGCAACCTCTGCCCCGAGTTCAAGCAATTCTCCTGCCTCAGCCTCCCATGTTGCTGGAATTACAGGCACCCACCGTCACACCAGGCTCATTTTTGTATTTTTAGTAGAGATGGGGTTTCACCGTGTTGGCCAGGCGGGTCTTGAACTCCTGACCTCACGTGATCCACCCACCTCAGCCTCCCATAGTGCTGGGGTTACAGGCCTGAGCCACCATGCCTGGCCTGCATTTGTGTTTCTTGAGGTCTGCCCACCTCTGCCTCCTGTGGTCTGGTTATAGAGGCTTACCTGGGCATGCCCCCAGCTGACACCTGTGGAAAGGCGTGGCACAGCCCTGGCCCATCCTCTGCTGCCTGAGCCCTCCCCTCCTTTGACAAAACTTTCTAAGTCCATGACCCTGCTGCCAGGAGGGCTTCCCAAAAAAGATCTCCAGCCTCAGTGGTGTGGTCACCATGCAGAGAACTTGGAGCCACAAGCCAGGGCTCCCTCCCGGAGATTCCTGGCACCCATGTCTCTTCTGGACTTACTTGACGAGCAGGACTTGGGCCTGCAGCTTCCTGATGAAGTGCACAAACCACTTCTCGCTGATGAAGTCAAAGCTGAGCTCTGGCTGCAGAGACAAAAGCATGGTGAATTCTCATCACAGGGCATAGGCACTCTCATGGGCCCAAAGCCCGTCTCTGTTGAGGTGGCTAAGCCCTGGTGAGGCCACATTAGCCATCCACCGTGGGACCAAGCCCAGGACCCCAACACAACACACAGCCGTGAAAACTCACTGCCCTTGTTCTACCCTCGCTGTCCTGGTTCTAACCCTGGCCCTCCAGCTATTTTCTGCTTCTCAGACTAAAATGACCTCAGGTGCCTTCCCCGAAACGGGTTCCCATACTGTCACCAAGATCCATGTGCTCTCACATGTCAGCTGCCACATTTCACAGCAGGGTGTGACCAAGCCTTTCAGGCCTGCACACCGGAGGAGCTTCCTGGGCACAAGGTGAACAGGCAAACTCAATCTCATCTCTACTAAATTAAAAAATTAGGCTGGGCACAGTGGCTCACGCCTGTAATCCTAGCACTTTGGGATGACGAGGTGGGCAGATCTCCTGAGGTCAGGAGTTCAAGAGCAAAGGTTCAAGGCTGAGGTCAGCCTGGCAAATGTGGTGAAACCCTATCTCTGCTAAAAATACAAAAAATTAGCCAAGCGTGGTGGCACATGCCTATAATACCAGCTACTTGGGAGGCTGAGACAGAAGAATTGCTTGAACCCAGGAGGCAGAGGTTGAAGTGAGCTGAGATTGGGCTACTGCACTCAGCCTGGATGACAGAGTAAGACTCAGTCTCAAAGAAAAAAAAAAAAAAAAAAACCATAATAAATAAATAGAATCTGGGTGCTTTGCTTTGGCAGCACATATACTGCCGAATTGGAACAGTACAGAGAAGGTAAGTGTGACTCCTGCACAAGCATGATACAAACATTTCCTAAACATTCCTTTACAAAAAGAAAAACACGGCCGAACGTGGTGGCTCACGCCTGTAATCCAAGCACTTTGGAGGCCAAGGTGGGCGGATCACCTGAGGTCGGGAGTTCAAGATCAGCCTGACCAACATGGTGAAACCCCGTCTTTATAAAATAAATTAAAAGAAAAAGACAAAAAGAAAAACTTTTGGATCACCTGAGGGTAGGAGTTCAAGACCAGCCTGCCCAACATGGTGAAACCCTGTATCTACTAAAAATACAAAAAATTAGCCAGGTGTGGTGGTACATGCCTGTAATCCCAGCTACTTGGGAGGCTAAGGCAGGAGAATTGCTTGAACCTGGGAGGCAGAGGTTGCAGTGAGCCAAGATCATGCCATTGCACTCCAGCCTGGGCAACAGATCGAGATACCATCTCAAAAAAAAAAAAAAATTATAAAAAAGCCTCTGTGGGTAGGGAGGCCCACCCAACAACTGGTATTGGAATAACTAGCTGTTCATCTAGAAAAACAATTACAATGGCTGGGCGCCTATAATCCCAACACTTTGGGAAACTGAAGTGGAAGGAGCCCAGGCATTCGAGACCCTCCTGGGCAATGTAGCAAGACCGTGTCTCTACAAAAGTAAAAGTCTTAGCTAGGTGTGGTAGCACACACCTGTAGTCCTAGCTACTCGGGAGGCTGAGGTGGGAAGATCACTTCAGCCCAGGAGTTTGAGGCTGTGTGAGCCATGACTACGCCATGGCACTCCAGCCTAGGTGAGAGAGATCGATCCTGTCTCTAAAATGAAAATAAACAGACTGGCCGCAGTAGCTCACATCTGTAATCCCAGCACTTTGGGAGGCTGAGGCTGGCGGATCACCTGAGGTCAGGAATTTAAGACCAGCCTGGCCAACATGGTGAAACCCCATCTCTCCTAAAAATACAACAATTAGGCAGATATGGTGGTGGGTGCCTATAATCCCAGCTACTTGGGAGGCTGAGGCAGGAGAATCACTTGAACCTGGGAGGTGAAGGCTGCAGTGAGCCAATATCGTGCCATTACACTCCAGCCTGGGCGACAACAGCAAGACTCCGTATCAAATAACAAAAATAATAAAATTAATGAAAGAAATAAGTTTTCAAACATGATAGAAAAAAAGGGAACAAAGAAAATGAAACCCTACCTCACCCCATGCTCAAAAACAAATTCCACACGGATCAATGACAAACACATTAACATTCCTGGACCCTTGGCTGATGCCCTGTTCCAAGCCTCAACTCTAGGCCTGGGCCCGGGCAGCAGCTCTCAGCAGTCTCCCTGCAGTTATAGCTTCCTCACCTCTAATGACAGTGTCTTACATGTGTACAGTGTTCTACCACTTTTGAACAATCACAAAATAGGATAGGCCATGAGCACCTGAAGTGACAGCACTGTGCAAGGCCACTCAACACACATGACCTCAGGTAGTCTCAACAAACACCTTTCAAAGTGAGGCCCAGGGCTTGGCTCCCCTAGCCAAGTTGCTCATGAACCAGCTGAAGGAATGAAAGCACTTTCTTTTTGCACGTGAGACAACCAAGGCTCAGAGAGGGTAAGCACCTTGCCCAAGGTCACACAGCCCCTCAGTGGCAGAAATGGCCAAATTTCCATTAATACAAGCACTCCAGTGACATACTTCCAGGCCTCCAGATGGGACACTGGTTTTTAAGAACTTTTCTCATCCTGCCCCTCCCTCTTTAATCTCACAGCCTCTGTCAGGAATCCCCGTCTCAACAGGTGTACCGCGCTGACTCCGAGCTTTTACCTGGGCAGCAGCCAGTGCCTAGAACGCCTCCCTCCTCTACTCACCTCCATCAGCTGTGTTTAATGCCACTGAAGTGCACACTTACAAATAATTAAACTGACAATTATTATGTAATCTACGTAATAGATTTTTTTTTTTTTTTTTT